TAGATCAGCCCAGGGGTTGTTTCAGGGTTCGATCTGTGAGTTAGCCATGCCCTGACTTAGGTCAGCCCAAAGGTTGTTTCAGGGTTTGATCCGTGAGTTAGCCATGCCCTGACTTTTATCAGCCTCCCAGAGGTCGTTTTAGGGTAAAGATAATTTTAATCTAAAGGTTTGAAGGTAAAATATACATCGTGTGAAGTTAGGTAAGGTTAATTTAAAATACCAATCAGTTAATTAGATTATTAGCTATTGCGATGACGTCAACTAACTAATGGGAGGCATAAAACTATGCATAATATTTTTATGTATACTAAATTAGTAAACTTAGTGAATCTTGAACGCTTTATTAAATTAGTGCTCGTGCCTCGTTTTTCACGAGGAATTTTCTCCGGTTTTACTCCGTATTGAGTGCTGTGTGTTGTAAACAGTGAAGCGTGGTAGTGTGTGTGGATGGAATACCACAGAAAAGTCCCTTATGGGGTGCGATGATTGTAAAATATAAGTTTTTGTAAAATATAAGAATGTTGAACTAGAAATACCAAAAGTGTCGGTTGCAAAACAAAGACAAAACAAAACGGAAAAGAAGACGAAAAAGGAAAAAAAAAGGCCCGTGTAGGAAAAAAAAGTGAGTCGTGGAAAAATCGTGGAAAAAATCGCATCGGACTTATTAAGTAGCCTTACGTGTCACACGTATGAAAAAGTTCCCTCAACATATAGCTTATCTCTTCTATTGAGCTGTAAATAAGACTAAATACTCCTCATCAAATGCTCTTAAATTCAATACTACATATAGGCTCTTTCCTCCAAGAGTACATCTGTCTACAACTACTATCAAAGAAAGTCTTAGACAAAACAGTTTTTCATTAGTTTTTACGCAGTTTCCGCCAAGTGTTTTTTTAGTATTTTTGCTACATGAAGAGGGCTTTCAGACAAGCAGCACTACTTATCAGCGTTGTCAAGTGGTTTATACAAAAGTACTTGGATATATTTTATCCTCATGATTCAAGTGTTTTGCTATTTTTTTCAGTTTATTTTTATTTAAGGAGAAAGCCAAGACGGTAAACGTGCTTCCTCTATTTTATTGTGGAAACTTGACGTGTTACGCATGCGTAGGCTAAACAGCTGTGAGAGTATGGCTGTCTTTCTTCCTTAGATGGGCGATTTTTTCGGGTGATAATACAATTGATGCTTGTGTATGGTCAAATGAATGTGTACAAAGGATCCTGGTATTCGTAGTCAAATGAAACGGCTTTTTGTTTCACGGTAAAGGGGCTAAAATTGTCAGGAAAATGGCGACTTTAAATGCAAATAAGTACAGAAGGTGAAAGATTTTCAACTGAGTATTTACGCTGACCAGCCGGTTGTGAACTAATTGTACTAAATGGTTAATCATGTTAGATGATATTTGAGATTGGAATAGTTGTTCTAAAAAAGTTTTCTTGTCGTGAAATGTTTTAAAAATATTGTTTATAATTAATGTTGTTATTTTTGTAAAGCGTTGTTGGACTTAACGGAATTGACGCTAAATAAAAGTTAGTTAAATATTATATTTTATTCACCTTAGCTTTAAACTTTCTATACAAAACATTCCTCCTATATAATGCTATTAGTCAGGAAAAGGATGTAGTAAAAGGAGTGCAATCTTCTCTCATTTCGGGGTACTCAAGTTCGACTCCTTGTGGACTCGCTATCGCTTGGAGTAGAGTTTGTTTGATGTCTTTCTCAATACGAGGGAATGTTCAAATTGTGAGTGGATTTTTTTCCGGTTCTTTGAACATGCTAGAAAAATAGACTTTATTTCTAAACCACTTATTTTGTAAAAATCATTGACGTCATTACTCTTTAAAGACAAAGTCTCATGAGTAATATCCTTGAAATATATTGATTTAATTGCACCAAGTATACTTTACATGTCTACGAACACGACATTTCATTAAGACTAAGTTATAAATAACGCGTCGAATGTGACAATTAGTTGTTCTATTTATACTGAAGCGAATTTCCTAAAGTCGTTATCACCGATGCTTCCTACCATCATTCATGATATTAAAGATACGCGTAGCCGACAAAATAAGCAGCTCAGGCCATCGTTAAAATCCTATAAACTTAAACCCTGTAATAAGTATAAAGCTGGCTTTATTATACTCGAGATGATGATGTAAAATTGAAACCGCCATTTTATAATACGTGTGTGGCTCAAATGAGTTCGTTTTTCCGAAAACGTTTGTCATGACGACCAGAAGCACTCGGCCAGGTTACCGAGGACAAGCTAGGTATTCACAGCCGCCATCTTGGTTGATTTTAACAAAATCTTTTATCTACTCAATCACTTTTGATATACCAAGCAACATGGCCGCCTTGTCTTTTCTTACTTTCGAGAACTAAAATTCCTTAAAGACGATTAACTATAATCCTAAATACTGCTGTTTTTTATGACTAAAGACTCATGTACACAAGCTTATCCTCGTTTAAGAGCGAACCATTCAAAAAAGTCAACTGTAATGTAAAACATTTGCAGCTTAAACAATACCAATGTTTCAAAATCCCATTGACTTTTAATGGTATCTGTGAAAAGCTGACTTATAAACGAGGCTAAGCCTGTGCAAATGAGTCTGTAGTCTTCTAAAACAGCGGTAATTAGCGAAAGCGAAACTGGTGTATTTGACATCAATTTAAATCACTTATTTAAAACTTCTCGACGTTTAAAATCCCAAACGAAGCCAGAACATTGGCTAGGACTGCTTCAAAGGCACTTTATCATTAATGTAAGCTTCACTTGCTGTAGTTGATTCTGATTGGCTAAAAATGACACCGATAGATGATTGGCTGGTTTACTCCGTGCTTCATGCTCTACAAAGTTACGTCTTTCTTGAATGACGACGAAACAATGGTTTGAAGTGGAGCCTTATAAAATACAGTAAATTTATCATATATAACACATCAAGTCAACTTCAAGCCATTGCAGACATTGTTTCGTCTTCACTCAATTCTGGAAAGGCCTCCGTACGAACTAGGTATTCTTTGTATTTTATTTTTTATTTTTTATATTTTTAAAGATTTAAAAATCAACATTTAATTAACATTACGTTAATTAAATGATATTTCCTATATATTTTATTGCTTTAAACGTCACATGATTTAACTTAACAATTCCACAAAACACATCTTAAAAGACGTGCTATTCTAGTCCTTGTCAGTGATCACACTAACGATTAATAACTCCCAATTATTCTATCATACATCTCTTTCCCATTTCAGACCACTCCTCATTCCCCTAGAATGACGCACGTGAGAAGACACACATAGGTACGACTAAAATATAAAAAAAATATTCTCAAAAGAATGACACGTGGTTTGAAATTGGAATACATTACGTCCAAGGTAAAGAGGTAAAGTTTTACGAACACAAATCTGAAGCCAATTTTAAAACCAATATATATTCCTTTTTAATTAACAGATGTTTTAATATCAAAGGGTTTCCACACATGGATGATTGAATGGTCTTAGCACTTATTTCCTTAAGTCGACAAATATATCGTTCAGAATTTATTGCCAAGGGCTTCCTAATACTTGAGATTTGAAGGTCTATCAAATTGGTAAGCAGAAAATTTATGAGTATTTGAAGTAATCCTTGCTGAGCTGAAAAATAAATATTTGCAAAATATGACTTTAAAGTATGGATTTAGGAATGAAAGAATATCTTTAGGCCAATAATAAAGCGACCTCGGTGTACATTTTAACCTGATATTAAAATATATGCTCCGTTTTAAGGTCAAGTCATTATATATTTTACCGCGACTATTGGTTGCCTCTAAAATGTATAAAGATAAGTTGAAGTCATAATCACGAACTTGCTACTTTTTTAATCCTGATGTTATCCTAATTCTTATTGTCGTCCTTTAAAAATTGAAATTGCAATTGCAATGTTAAAGTGCAATAACTTATTGATAACAAGAGATCAAGGATGACACATTTCGACTGTCAATTTCGATCGAGTTCAGATAGGAGCGAGTGAAGCTTTGAGCTTCTCTGTTACTAAGTGTGCAGACGTGCTATTGTTAGGTGATGTTATCTTAGGTTGGAAAGATAGAGTGTAAATAAGCCTCTTTGATTGTATAACGATTGCGTGGCTCTCTCTCTCTCTCTTTCTTTCTTTCTTTCTTTTTTTCATTTTTTTCTTTCTTTCTTTTTT